CGCCTTTCTTCTGACAGAACAGGCTGCTATGGAATACCTTGCATTTCTAAAAGTTAATACCAAACTTTTGAGACAGATAGACATCACTAAGTTGTGGACTAGCTTTCAGAACTATTTAATTTTTTATTGGAGAATATTGTCTTTCCTAAGTGTTGGCAAATAGCCCCGTTGTATCAGCAGCTGGGTGACCTGCAGATGCTTTTATCAGCAGAACATTGATGTAAACACTTGAAACTAAGAACATCCTTGCACTCAAAGCAACAGAAATACATGTGCTGTACTAAGCAAGTGTCCTACTACTTAAATGAGAATAATTTGATAAGAGTTGCTTCAAATTAAGATTCAGCTCTTATGGTTTTGTAAAGTATGCAGTGTTTATAATCAATACTCTGTCAACAGTTGTAGCAACTTTCCTTACAGTATTGCAGTGTCACTAAAAATGTCATGTTTGGTTTAAATTCACTTATGTATAGGAGTCACATGATGTAGTTTATAAAATAAGAAGTCAGATGTTTTATTAGCTTTCTGCAGTTATGCTTGATTTTTAGAGTGGCCTCACAAGTATAAAAAAAAATAGTAAGTTTTATTTGTTCCCATTTATGTCTCATAGCAGAATGTTGTTCAAAACCAGAAAATTGCAGAGTACTCACAAGATGACAGTATTGCATCAGACTTGATAGCATAAAGTTAGGCAACTTCTTAACCCACTGAAGTCACTCACATTGCTTTAAAGGTACCTGAAAGTTTACATTGCTTCCTCAATTTTTGTCATAGTTACCAAAAGTGTGGGCAGCAAGTCAAGCTTTTCAGATTAAAACTGCTCTTCACCCCAAGAACAGACTTCCCACGTTATCACAGTGTACCTGTTCCACCTCCTCCCACCAAAAGACCCAATCTCTCCTCCAGCTTTGTTTTAAGCTGCTTGGCCCAGATGACCTCTGATGTGCTCGAAGATCTGCTGGCCCAAAGCATTAGTCATCACAGCAGTAGTTTTGTGACAAGTGCCTCTACAACGAAGTTTAATTAGGAAAATTTCAGAGCTAAATTAGGTGCATTCTTCTTGGTTTTGAGATGCACACATTAAATGCTACCACTAGGTAGATAAAGCCCAACATAAAAGAAGATACAAGCACAGTTGGATCAACTATGCTGACAGATGAAATAGCACAGTCCCAGGCTATTTTACCCGTGATGGAGCATATATCAAGTTGTTTTCATTTCTCAAACTGTTACACAGTAAAAAAACCCTGAGATACTCTGCTAGTCATAGCAGAGAGTCATAAAGCTGTAAGTTTTTTTTATACCAAGTCCTAACTAGTTGTTGCTTCTCAAAGCTTAACTTAAAACACCATTCCTACACACCTAGTCACCTTCGTGCACTGTGTGTGAAATGACAATACACAGTGAAATAGATTTTAAACATCAGTCAGGCCTGCACAGCAGTACAGGTAACAGTAACCCAGACTTACTAGTACTTGATGACCCCAGGATGCTATGCAACAAATACGTACTCCATACAACCCCAAAGGACAGCCATCCCATCTGCTTTAAAAAAATGCATCTTTTTCATTCACACTGGGAAGACACTGTCTTGCCAAAGGCAGGCTCTTCTAGACACAGGTGGGAAGCTCACCTGTGGTGCTTGATTTCACTGCATACATCTTTTGCAGAAGAGGCCCCACCAGCCTCAAGCGTGTTTCTGCAGTAACAAAGCCCTTCTACAAGCGCCCCAGCTAACACTCATGTTCCCCAATTACAGCTCACCTTCTGCCAGGGTCATGCTTCCAGCTTGTCTTATCTACCACTGTTAGTACCACACGTTTGTAGACTTTCCTGGAACTTATTACTTAGGTACAAAAGGAACTAGTCCTCCTCTACCATTATTGCATGAAGCAGTTTCCCGTTTTCTTCTTTAGCTTTATCATAAAACTTTAATATAGTAAGAAAAGTACTACCTCTGTATAAATTTGCATCAGGTTCCCTTACTCATGAGCTCTGACTACCCAGAGGTGCTCAGCTACCCATAATCACATTTGTATTTTTCAGCACTGACCTTTCCTCTGGGCAACTGCACTTACAACTTTTAGTGTTGCTCCTTGGCTGCTTGCTTATCTGCAGCTAACCCTGAAAATATAAACAGTTTTGATTTTAAACTGAAGGCAATTACATAAATACATTTTGTCCTCATTTCCATGCAACAAAATAATTCAACCATGGCTAGTTACACTGTACTCAAACTGGTATAAGTTGAGAACTAAAACTATCCTTCCGTGAAAGAGTGCAAGCTGAACACACAGATGTCCCTGCTGGAATTTGAACTCCAAATATAGCTCCTCACTTGCTGCCAAGCACTGTCTTTCATTCTTTCATTACTCCAGCCACCAAAGAACATAACCACATAAAAAGTCATCAGCACACGCTATTTCTCTAAGTAAATATAAAGAGTCAGTTTGTTAACACTGGTTGTCTGACAACATGAGGTACTATTATCTACGTGTGTTGTTCACAGACTGATGACCCCATCATCCAAGCACACTCAACTCCATCACACTACAGTGATGGGAGATGCTTCACACCACAACACATGCTACAAGGTTTTGTATCAAAAAATCTCACAGTAAAGATGTGAAAGAAAACAATTAAAAATAAAAGCTATATTGCATAAGCCGCTTCTAGAATTGTATTCTCACTGGTGGAAATTCACTCTTATTCAACTGAGCAAAGCAAATGAATTTAGGAGGAGTATATGTACTTTAGGAGGGCAAGAGACAGCTGACTAGTTTTTAAAGAATTTCTTCAAGAGCTGGTAAGGGAAAAGAAGAGCAAACTAAGGTTAACTGAATATTCATTCAAGTAACGGAACCCAGAAATTAATACAGTAATTAAACAGCAAATGGACATTGCAATAAAGCGTAAATCCTTCCCTCTCCTTTGTATTTATCATAACACACTAGGGCTTTAACTTAGCTACACCGAATAGCAGTCTACTAGACAGCATATTAATTTGTACTGAATGTGTTTAATGACCCTCATTTATTATATCAGCTTAAGTATTGAGTGGTTCATATAAAACCAAAGTGAAAAGAGTCGACACCAATTCTAACGTAACAGAACTGGTACACAGCCCCACTGTCTTACTTCCTTGTTCATAACTAGGACCCCAAGCTAAGTTAAAAGGAGCTCAAGTACTTTGCAGAAACCTTCCCCTCTGATCACCTACCCGTTAAAGCAGAGAACAGTATGGTAAAAGACCTGCTCCATGACACCGTTTTCCCTTCAACTTTGTTTATTGATGTACTGAACATGAAAAAGTACAAAGGATCCAAACACAAAAGAAAACATGTACAACCTCTTAAATACTCAACAGAATATATTTTCTATTCCAACAGGTGTGAATTAAGTCATACTATACAACTTCAAATAAATACGAGCCTTATATTTTACTAAGTGCTCTGATAAACACTGTAAAGTGAAGCCCAATTTACATGCCTTCTCATCAATGCCGTTAGTTGCTACAGTAGTATAGGAAAGAAGCATGTAGCTACTGTTTTCCCCACATTGGAAAGTTTGTGATTTCTATAGTATATACAATTTTTAATGTAGAGGATTAGCTTTAACAATCTAAATGCACCTAAGAATGAGGAAGTGCTCAGGAAGCCAATTGGTTTTTGAATAGCATTGAGTGGGTCAGCATGAAAACTCGCTTACTCACTTTAGCACGCGCTTCACAGTATATGTAACTGTACTATACTGAAAAATTTATAACTACAATTTAAAAGAATAAGAACCAAAAGCAACTGCAAAGATAGTGTACAACTATGTTATGCATAGAACATTGCTTTTTCTAAGGGGAAGCATATGAGCATCTCAGTTTATACAAAAAGCAGGACGTAACTACATAGTTGTCAGTGCATCCTGGTGAAGGCATCAAACCCTCAGCTTTTTTTTTAAATTTAATTATAAGCTAGATGCTAATCAGAAAATATTCTGTATTTTTTTTTTCTTAAATTTCTTCAATACATGGTAAAGACCTTTTCTATTTCCCCAAATAGTGATTTAAGCATCATACAAAGTTAAATTTCAATAGCATACAGGTATTTATGGTTTTTGTATGAAAAATGTAAGGAAATTTGTTCAAAACTTATGATTATACTCGTTTTTTACCACAAACATATTTATAAACAAAAATGTAGCATCACCATAAACAGCTGAAGCTAGACTATCTACAGACAAAAATAGCAACAGATCTGATGCACTGTAAATTCAAGTCCTCAGGACAACAAAAATGAATAAGCAGACCTCAAGTTAACAATGTTAATGCCATTTACAAAGAAAAAACTCATACAAAAACATTCAAAATTTAACATCACTTGGCATGTAACTTAAAATAAACTGAAATCAAAATTAGCTGAAAGGTTCATAACTCAAGGTCTTATTTACATTACACAAAGCTCAGGTGTTAGCCTTGAACATAACTTTCAAAAAACCTCCAAATACACCCAACTCAGGCCACTTCTGCTGATTTGCTGCTGCGCAAACCATGTTCAATGTCTTTTCTTAAGACAAAACAATTCTTCAAACAATAGCAAGTACATCACTAAACACCATGAGCTCTATCTGAAGGGAATTCTTTAGGAAGAACAGATTTTTTTCCCCCATCTCTCAGTATTTTAAGTTTCCTGCTTGCTCTTATATTCTTTTTTTAAATTTTCATTTGTTTCAAAATCACAAATTAATGTGAGCCACCTATCACTTAATAACCAGGATGATCAAAGACTCCACTGATGATTACAAAAATGAAACCAACAGTGCATCCCATTGACTCTACTTCTTAATACAAAGGTCTCAAAAGTATTTCTACATCATAAATCTTTCTAAATTTTCCCCAACAACTGCAAATTTCCTGGTAAGTTTTAAAAGCTCACTAGGTGTCATATGAAGAGATTTCTCAAAAAATTCAAGTCAAAATATTTTTCCAAATTTTTTTTTTTTTTTTTTTATAAAAATAGATGCTTTTTTAAACCCACATCAAAGAGGCTCTTATCTCTTTGGCAAGGTACTGCTTTACGAAAAGTTCTCCAGTATTCTTACAATAAGCTTTTTATAATGTGTTCCCATTCCCCAACCCAAATGATAATTATAAAATAAATACTGCTTATAACTTTATAAATTAAATGTAAACTTCAAATACTTTTCTTGAACAACAAAACAGCAATGCATTCAAATGTAAATTAAACACAAGGCAAATCAAGAAATAACATAAAAAACCCAACTTAAAGTATAACACAAAGCCTCAGTATTTACTCATAGGTTAAAGGCAGTCATGTAACAAGAAAAAAAACTTCTTCCCTTAGCTGAAACATTTTAAAAGGTCCACCTTCTTCAAAGAAGGCAATAGAATATGCATTGTAACAGGCAAAAACCCTGTAGCTCTTGTCAATATTCAAACACAAAAGATATTCAAGAAGTTTTAATTCAAATATTAGCAATAAAAAATCTCACATATTCTTAGGATGCTAAGTAGTCATTTTATCCCCATTTCCACACTGTCATACAACAAAGGCATTTACTAATGCATAAAGCTTCTTGTAAATTGCCTTTGTTGTATAGTTTTCATGTATTAATGCACTGAGAATAACTTGTTAGGCTTTGTGCGTTTTGTTTGTTTTGAAGGAGACCTGCAATACTCTGTCCCCGAGGCGGTATCCATTCAGGCTGGCTATTGCCATAGCTGCCTCATCATAGTTTGTCATAGTCACAAATCCAAACCCTTTGCACTTGTTGGTGTTAAAGTCACGAATGACCTTCACATTGGTTACTGCTCCAAAGGGTCCAAACATTTGCCAGAGGATACTCTCATCAGCATCAGGGGCCAAGTTGTACACAAAAATGCACCATCCGGTTCCTGCATGTCCAGGGATATTAATTCCAGCCAAACTGGTCATTCCATCAATGGTCATTGGAGGAAACCTACTGAAGAATAGGGGAAAGAGAATCATAAAAGTAGCTGTTCACAGAAAATCCCAGCAATGACATTTCAAAATAAAAAAGAAAATGATACAGGGCTTTTCACAGCATGAACATGTTTGTCAGGCTAAAAGGTAACATCACAAATATTTCCCCCCCCCCAACTGCACAAATACAACATACAATACTATACACAAGTAGGGGGAACATTGCTAGGTCTGTCTGAAATGAAATAACATAGAAAAACAAAACAAAAGCATGCTATAAAGCCAGTGAGGATTAAGTCATTTGAAACCAAATTCCGTGGAGCTGCTACAAAAGGTTTGTCTCTTTCATGCACAGTGCACCAAAATGAACCATTTCACCTGAAGTCTCAACGTGCAAAAATCCAACATAATTCTTACTGAAAAAAATAAGAGTATGCAAAATACTTAACAATAATTTGGTTATTATTAACCTCATAGTCCTTTATTACCTCTTTACTCCATAAGCCATGTTGAGCAGATTGTCCAACCTGCAAAACATTTAGCAAAGTGTTCAGTCTTCAGACTTTTCAACCCTTTAATCTTAAGGAAACTCGGTGTATTACTGCCACGTTCCTTGCACTGTACAGAACCTCATGCAAAGTTGAAGTATCACCACTGAAAGGACTGTGGCACCTTATTACACCTGATACAGTTAGTGAAGACAAAATAGATGTTCTTGTGTAGCATCCACAACCATTAATAGTTCAGTTCAGAAAGTGCACCACTTCCACAAGTTTCGCCTAAGTCAAATACTGTTAGCATAAAGTTACAGTCAGTGACCACCTCAGTGCAGTTTTCAAGATTACTAACTTGCTTTGGATGAAGAATTTACTGAGGCTTCTGACAGTCTGCTGACATGAATACCCAGACAGATGCAGGATTTTGGAGCAGTAACAAATGTTAGCACATGAACTGCAAAAAAGATTTTTCATTTTTGTACTCCTTTCCAGCATAACGCTGTTTTAGAATACATGCACACACACACTAGACTATAAGCTTTCTCCATGTATTTCTTCCCCCACCTTCCCCCACACTGCTAAACTGTAGTATGTAACCACAACTCTATAAACACTTTGGAATTACCTGGCCAATACTCAGAACATGCAGTGCCTACCAATACTATTAATCCTATTCCTCAAGTTCCTTGAAGTGTTTCTCTAAGAAAATTTCTGCCCTAAAGCAGCTCTGGTTTCTTCCTGGCAAAGCTCTGATGTGTGAAGGGAAAGTCTCGTTAATGTTTCTCTTCAGGATTCTACAAAATATGTGCTTAGGTAAAAGAGGTACACTTAACTTAGTTTTCAGCTTACAGCTACCTTACAGATATGTACAGATATGTGATTTCTTTCCAGTTATGAGCTACAGGGTTTAAGAACCATTACTGGTATACAGAATTTAAACTCAAGTGCTGTAGTAGTGTTACTACACTTGTGCATAAAAAACTTGACAAAAAAATTTGGTCTTGTTTGCAGGTAAGTAAAGGTTTCAAACTACAGAGCATTATGATTCTGCAGTGAGTGTGATTTGCAGGATGTACTGACAACAAAGCAAGCTATCGAACCCCCAAAGACAGCAGAAAAGAGGAAATTAAAACATGCCTGTCTACTATCATACAATTGTCTAGGTTAGAAAAGACATTTAAGATCATTGAGTCCAACTGTTAACCTAGCACTGGGAAGTCCACTGCTAAACCATGTCCCTAAGCACCACATCTACCTGTCTTTTAAATACCCCCAGGGATGGTAACTCAATCACTTCTCTGGGCAGCCTGTTCCAATGCTTGACCACCCTTTCGGTAAGAAATTTTTCTTAATATCCATCCTAAACCTCCCCTGGCACAATTGAGCCCATTTCCTCTTGTCCTGTTGCCTGTTACTAGCAAGAATAGACTGACCCCACCTCGCTACAACCTCCTTTCAGGTAGCTGTAGAGACCAACAAGGTCTCCCCTCAGCCTTTTCTCCAGGCTAGACAACCCCACTTCCCTCAGCTGCTCCTCATAAGACTTGTGCTCCAGACACTTCACCAGTTTTGTTGCCCATCTCTGGCAAGTCTATCAGTAAGTCTATCAGTAGACTTAGTGTGGATGACAGAAGTCTACTGTCGTTAACATTTAGGGATGGAGAGGAAGGTGACGAGTTCCAGAAACACCACCACTTGCAAGTCCTTGCTGTAGAGCAATCGGCTGAGGACTTCATACAGTAATGGTATCACTGTAGCAGTTTTCATCACCTGGATGACTTAAAAATATTCTGGAAAAATTTCAGGGGCATTCACTGGACAATTTTTAAAGATGCTTTAAGTTACACATCCTACAGAAACGAAGGAACTATTATATATATATATATGCTTTCAAAAGCCCAGCTCAAGATTTTTCTTAGTAAGAAAAAAAGAAACATTGTAGTGAGCCTATTGGTCTTCACTACTAAAGTTTACGCTGATTCTGTCTTCAGGCCTCTGTCAACCTTTAACAAGAGACAGGGAAACTGCATCAGGTAATCCTGTCTGAAACGATTTCTTGCATGTGAAAGACATGAAAGATCTGAAGCACCAGTGCAATCTGAACTACATAGCCAGCAACAGAGCTGGAATGCCGCAACAGCAGCGAAGCAAAGACCTAAACAACTCAAAAGAGACAGATTTCCTTTCAGAGTTATAAAAATTAAAAATTTGGCAGATCTGTCTCTTTTAGAAAAGAAACAGAAGCCTGAAGGTCTTCCCTCCCAAAAAAATGAAAAAAAATAAATTTAGTTCTGTCTGCAACTCCAGTTTACCTTTTGACCAGTCAGTTCAACCCTGTTCCTCCTTCTGCATTGATAAAAGTGAGAAAGATTTCTCTTCCTCCTATTCACTACAGACTTGGTACCTACTCGGTGCATTTTGTTACCATTACACTTTTAAGTGGAGCAAATTAGAATCTCTTACGGTTGTTTCAGGCATCACTTTACACTTAGTATCTCAAAAAACCAAACAACTTTCCAGTGAAATTTAAATGGACATTCATAAAAATACACTTCCTTTTTAAACAAAATTAAATCACAAACAATCAATACAATTTTGAAGGTTCAAAGCCTAATGTTGCAGGACAGGGGCAGTCTATTGAAATCACTTTACTGCAAAGAACTTTAGGTCCTACAGAAAGAAAAAACTCCAAAAGCTGGAGAATTTTTAAAAGTCCTGATAGATGTACCTGGAGTATCAGTTAAATACAGATGCTATCCCAGCCAGTGTCAGAGTAATACCAAACACAGCCAAGTATCCAGGAACAAGTGCACTCAGAACAACTCAATGAGTCTGCAGGCCAGCCTTGCCAAAATACGTTGAATGCTCTAACACACAGGCTGTACAACAGCTCCCTCATGATCTCATTTCATATAATGCACCTGGGTCCACCCTGCAACTGCAAATTCTGCCTCAATGCTCTGCCTATGGAACAATGGCAAGCCTACTTTTATTCAATGTTCAGCACGCTGTTTAAAATAACCTTTGTATTCCCTAGGAAATGGTAAGAAAAATCCATCAACCAGCGAATAAAATTGGTTATATGTTCCCTTAGGGCAGAAAACCTACTCTAGTGCTGACCTTCACACCTGTGAGACACTTGCAGCACATAAGGCTGAAAAGGTGAAGAAAAGAATTCAGAAGTTCTGGCAGAAGTGCAGTCCATGAACTCTGGATGTTCAGCCTAAAAGCAAGGGTGGCCAATGCAGAGCTTTTGAAGTTTTGTATATTCTCTTTGAAGCAAACTGCCAGCTGATTTTATTTCTTGAAAAATAAAATAGAAGCTGAGTATATTACTGTTTAACACATTCTGTCACGTAGCCCAGGGGCAGAGGGTGGGAAGAAATGATCAAAATCACTGAAAAAAACCCGAGGTACTCAATACAGTATTTGTTTCACTTTGTTCTCACCATCTGTCCTTTTCAATACACTAAATATCACAGGGAACTGTATGGCTGTAGTTTCAACACGATGGGAACACAGCCTCAAAACACACATGCAAAAAGTGTTTGAATAGTCTTCATTACAGAAGTTTGTGTAACTGAAGATGAAGTGTGACATGCAGGATTTAGACAACGGACTAGGAAAAAAACCTAAAAGCCAGAACAGGGAGGAAAGATAGGGGTTGGGGAAGAGGAGGCTGGCTGTGGCATGCCATATGGCTAAGAAGAAAATTGAATTGCCTAGGTCAATGTTAACTGAATCAACTTGCACATTAATCAACGATAATCTAGGAAATTAAAAATAACCTTTAAAAACGGGTTTTTTAGTGACTGTGTAGAAGAAAAATGTCATCTGTTTAAGTAGGTTTATTAGATACTGAAGTGCTATCAATAGGATGGAATGCATTTTTGCTTTTAGCTGTGTTGTAGGAGCATAGCTGAAGTTCAAAATTTTCCTTGGCTTGCAGCACAGTTGCACACAAGTATGTATTTGACTTACCTAAAACGTTGAGCCTGCTGAGCTAGAGGTGCCGGATACCTTCTGTTTGGAGAATGGTACAGCTGGGAAAGGATGGCCTGATTGGTTTTTTGGCTTGGATTGTTAGCAAACTTTACAGTGATGGGCTCTGTGGCACTTGGAGGTTTCTGGCCATTCAAGCCCTTGATAGCTTCCTCTGCTTCAATTCGCTTGTCAAACCGGATAAACCCGACACCCCTTGATACCCCTGGACAGGATGAAGAAAGAATTAATTCAGAGACTCTGGAATATTAGATGTTAACATTTGAGTCTCATAGCCAATTGCTATGTTAATGGCCAATTGCTGTGAACACCTAATTTTGAGCTTGTAAAACTGAGCTTTTGCTCAAAGGCTTTTCTACTGTATTTTTTTTTTTTTAATTTAACTAACATAAGCTGTATTGTGTAGAAAGCTTGGAAGGTTGAGGGAAAACACGGCAGAGACAACTTAAACATAGTGAGCCAAAGTGTAATTCTGAAAGAAAGCAATTCAGGCTTAGGGTGGAGATGAATCCAGAACCAGCTGCACTGTAACCTCTGTCCAGTTCATGCTACTCTGCAGTATCTAAAATCACAGAAACTCTGTAAATAGCTTAGTCATCTGCTCCCTAGCAGCAAGAAATGGCTTATGCTCTCCTGCAGCTCCTCTTGAAGTTCCCTTTGAAGCAATTATGCTGAGAGGACAATGAATGGAGTGCAGGCTCTAGATTGCAGTAATGGTCATTATGGGCCTCTTAACAGTCCATAGTTACCACTAAGTAAGAGATGCCATTTCAGCATACCACCATACTATTGTAGGTGTTATTTTCTGAAGGAAACTTTTCTTGGGCCATAGATTTCTCCTTGGTATAGAAAAGTCAAAGACAACATGCAAGGGGATCAGCAAGTGTTTATGGAAGGTCTTAGGAACACCACATCTCAAAAGTTTATACTGTGGCTTAAATATAAACACACTGAGGTATCAATACTTGAACCAAAAGCTACTACAGCCAATACTACTTAGTTGCATGCTTTGCTGTAATATTCCTAAATCCATTTAAAGGCCCCTTGTATTTTGGTTCATGCATAAACAGACAAGTTAGACACTTGTCTGTCCTCACTTGAGGAAGACATTAAAGACAAGAAAGGTATTCTGTTCATAAACAATGACAATTTAAACCATCAAAGTGACAATAAGCAGGTGTAAGAAATCTTTAGAGGTGAGCGTCACAGCTTCAACTTCGCATTTTTCATCTGTCAGCTTGTGTCACAACCTTATTATTCATACCGTTTTGAGCCTACCTCTTCCAAATTACTAAGAAGGAGGAGGGAAGAAAGCTTAAACCTGAACAACAGTCTATGCCAGAGAACTACTGTACACATACTAGGATTTATGAGTACTTCGAATTGCAGTACACATTTAAAAGTTTAATTACGTTTACTTATTTGGCATATTTATCAAATCGCACCATTTCTATGCATGAATATACAGGAACATACTGAAACAGCTATTTATTGCACAAAGATGGGAAATTTGACCTGCAAATCTACTGTTTCTACAAGGGACTAGTTGGCCTTTAGCTTTCCTTTCCCTGCCTCTCTACACTCTCACCAACTCAGACTATTAAAACACTCCGTAAGTATTATGTGTCAATATTGAGATTTCTGTTAACATAATGGAATAGCAACGTAGCACATACAAGATCCTTTACAGGTCAGCCAAGTGTCACACACAGGCAGGCACAATCCTTTCAAAGTAAGATCATCTGAAAACTTTATGACCTCCTACAGCTGAAAGCTTTTTGCCACCCACAATGACATGTGACTTTGAAAAGGTACAACTATAAAAAAATCCAAGCTAGCTTATCATTCAGGGAATAATTATGTGAATAAGTTCATTCTTCTGCCTCACACCCCTAGTTTTTTGGAAAGATGAGAATTTTGAGAGCCACACTCCTTTGTATTTCGCTTTGCACACTCAATACTTCTGTCATGTACTTGGCATTTCACTTGATTGCTTATTTTTGGAACAGGCCTGCTGGAAGCAGGTGAGGCAAACTATAAAAGCTGCCAAGTTATACAAGCAGCAAATTATAAAGATCAGCCATTTGAGCCAGCAAAAACACATGCACTACTATCTAAGTCTGAAAAGTTACCACAGAGTATCACTGACACTAACTGGTTAAGAAACATACTGTAACAACACAACTAACCTGGCTAGAGCTTAGTTCTTCAGGGCACTGCTAAGCATAGAACTTATCTGCTCCTGAGGAACTCAAAGTTCATGTTCTTCAGTGTGCCCAAAGTTAATGAGGCAACCTTGAAAACAGTCTTAACAACAATTACCAGTCTGGGTCTTTTGTAATCCTAGCCTGAGAGAACCAGCTGTGCATTTCTGCATAAAATTTTACTTTTATAAAAGAAGTGTTTAATAGCATTTCATAAGGCACACAGGGACTATTTTCACGCAGCAGCTTGGAAAGGAAGATTATAGCAGCTGTAAATTTATTACAAGCCATGAAACAGGCTTCAAACCTGCACCTTCGGGGTGGAAATGACTCAAGCTGGCTCAGTACACTCCACAATCTATTTTTGTCCATGCATATTTATGAACAATTCTAGCAGAAAATTGCATTTTCTGGCCTACATACACCTTTCATACATTCTACAGACAAGACTATCGTACTGAAAGGTGAAATATTTCTTAAACTGCCCATCCAAAAATGAGAGGAAGTGCAAAACTGCCTACTTACCAGTGACTTGGTCAACCAAAATACGAGAAGTAATAATGCGTCCATATTGGGAAAATAGCTGTTCTAGTTCTTTCTGGGTCATTGTTTTTGGAAGTCCACTAACATATAAATTTGCATCTCTGATAGAAGCCGAACTTGGTCGCGCATAGGAAACCTTAAAAAAAATAAAGAAAACTAGGAATTAAACATGTTAAAAACAGCTCAAATAAGACAGTGTCATTTGTTCTGCGACACTCAAGTGTTTTTAAGGGCAGCCAGAAAAGTTACCTTGCAAATTCAGTTAAGTGGGGATTTTTGGTGTTGGCTTCTGTAAAAACACTGAAAGAATGCAACATAGACCACATAGCAGAGGCTGCTGCATGACTGCATGAACACATACATAATTTAAGGCGGACTTTCAAATAAAGGAGGAAAGCTAGGTACACACTCCAGCAAGCGTTGGTGGAGAAGTGCTCTCAGTTAGTTTACTATAAGATTAAAAAAAACAAATTTAAGAAGATGCAAGAATGTTTTCCTTCTAATTATCAATAAAAAGCATCCAAAAATTTGAGGAATAAAGATTTCACTTTGATCCATAGGTCAAAACCACAGAAAGACAGTCCAAAACACTTAGAGGTTTGCAAGAGTTTTCCAAGTGCTGTGCCCTTTGTACGTGTGTTCAGCTTGCTATCAAATGACACATGATCATTCATGAGGTCAAGATAACTCTGCTATAGCACTTTTATAGGCCTAAGAATAAATGGCAGAAGTAGGAATGCAAATTGCATTTTGGCTGTTCAGCAGCTTGCCAATTTCTGCAACACGGAGGTCTTACAACCAAATGCCTAGTAACACTGAGTCCTTTTAGATATAAGTTTTTACCTGCTGCCTCAAAGTGTCAGTCAAAAATATTTTAAGATCATCAGTTAGATTCTTCAACCCTTAGACACATGCTACAAAACCAGCATGTTGAGGAATTCAGTATCTCTCACTGAAGTCTGTACAAGTGGTTTATCCTTTGTTACAGTAAAGATTAGAACAGAACATCCATGCTTGTGGAACAGGACAAGACAAAATACTTCATTTGGGATTTTCACTGTACAAAATGTAAAAGTAAAAAGGAACCTCAGAAACTGGTTACATTTATCTCCTTTCCTTCCCTCCCTGCAATGCAGGATCAGCCAACTCTGGGCAGCTGGAACTTAACTCTAAACATATCTTTTGCCTAATCCTTTGACATTTATTTTCAAACCCTTCCTCTGCCTTATTTCCATGCAGATCAGCAGACTCTTAAGACTCCTGTGGAAGCAAAACAAAAAAGGCAATTGAAACAGAGCACTCTGAAGACTAAACAAGCAGTACCCTGAACACTGCTGTGATCCTTCAACATTCTACTCAGAGGCTTTGTGCAAGGTATCTTCCAAAGCTGGCTGTACAGGGCTCACCTACAAAACCTGTACCAAGATAACACACTATCCAACACAGAGCCCTGCCAGCCAGAGTGCCTTGCTCTTTTAACATGAGAGCCACACGACAACCGAAGACCTGTCTGAAGTGCTTGTCTTCTGATCTCCCACCCAAGCAGCTGGGAATAGCCTGTCTTTTCTACTAATTTACTTTTTTTGTGAAGATGTGTAAATTTAATCATAAAAGCAAAGCTGGCGTTTATTTCAATTCCAACAATGCAGCACTGAAGAATAGTTTATTTTCCACTGGAGCTGAGCCCACTGACCTAAAGACTACTTAAGTCCACTTTCTTCTATGTGCCCCCTCACTTTTTTATATTATTAGAAATATGCATTAGGAAACTGTCCACAGAAGAGCCTGTGAAAGTTACCACTATCAAGGCGCCAGGTAGAAACCTACAGACCCTTTATTTAGCAAAAATGGATTCAACATCTATGATGCCAAATGTAAAAAAACAACCAACCAAAAAAAGACCTCACCAGATACTAAAACGTATTCCTGACGTCTGATCATGGCAGGAATCTGCTATGTGACTCTGGACAAATCTTTCCACCTCAGCTTCTCATGGCTTCTACATTCCAGTAGATACACTGACAATGGGTATTTTCCAATAAATTAATAGTTTTCTTTATCTTTAAAACTCCCTTTGATATCTCTTATGATTTTTTCCAGACACAGGGTGAACAGAAAAGTAGTAGTTCATTTTGTAGATTAGCTGGGAATTGATAAATTAGATTTTCTATTTCGACTCAATTTTTGTAATTTAAAAAAGTCAACATACGATTGTTCCTAGAAGACAATGCCAAGTACTAGCTAGAGTCAGATTCACATAGCCAGAGTGTTCAGGACTTCAGTGCCTGTAACCTGCCATAGGAAGTAGGAAGTCTCTCTAGCTATCAGAATTGTAGCAGTAGAGATGTGATTATGGCCATTTTGCAGCATCATAAGTAATTTATCCATATACTATGCAGCACCACTTTAAATTACAACAATAATGGAATCTTGTTAACCACTGGAAAAAAGACATCAAATAAAAGATGTCACAAGGACAGCAGTCATGTTCCTGCATGTGACAGAGTACTTGATTCCCAAGAGCCTTTCGCAAGGTAGATGAGAAATTTAATAGGTCCTTCAGAAAAGGCAAATACATAATTCTGATTTCTTAAAACTTGCTAAAGTAGATTCAATACTCAAGTCCAAATCTCATCAGAAACATCAGCTCTTTCAGAGGAGGAAAGGAAAGGAGAGACGCTACTGTTGTATCATTTGGCTGTTTAACTAACCATGCTCTTTCTTTAGATGAGCATTTGCAAAGTCAAGGACAACTAGTACCAGTGGAACTACAGAAATAGGTCTTGCAAGTGAGACAGAGAAGAGGAATCGGACATCTGACCCAGGTGGGTCAAGTGACTGATTTTGCCAGTTCTGTGCTGAAGAGTTCAACATTGAAGTTTTGTAAAAACAGTTTTTCTTGAAATGCTAATCTGCTACCATTATATGGCTGTACAGCCAAAGCCCAATACTTCCAAGTTGTGTTTGAAACCAAATCCTTACTTTATTCTGGATTTTCAACCCTCACACTACATACGCCCATATTTGAAAGGACAGTTTCTAGATCTTGAGTCGTTTTCCTGCCCTTCTACAGGCAAAAGCATACAGCTATGATATTTCCAGGTGCACAGAGTGTCTGAGAGGTAAGCTGCACCAGAGACAAGAAAATAGTGTAAAGCTTGCCTGCATTCAGCCAAAGAAGCAACAGGAACAGTCATGGCTATGCAAGAGGTAGAAAAATACAGCAGCTAAGGAATGAGAGAACTTGCCCTACTTGCCTACTTAGCTATGAGCTTCTTTAAAAAAATAAAGCTCCATGCCACACTTGGCAGGATGACCTTAAGGGGACCCAAGGCCAGAGAATGGAGACAGACTGCCTGGGGGACAGGACAAGACAGCAAATCCTGAATTACCAAAACCAAGGAGTTCTGACCAGCTAAGTAAAAGTTTCATTTCAAAAAGAATCTTTCCACACATACCCAAATTTAACTCTACATGGTAGGAGGGCACAGCAAAATCCATTTTGTAACTGAAGACAATGAACTGTTATTCATGTAAAGCTTGACACCAATGGAAGCAGGTGAGGACAGCAAATACTTATTAACTAGATGCTGCATGCATCACTGACACCTCAATTTTATCTGTCAGTTTTTAATTCTCTGGAATTGAGATACACTGAAAACTGTTCTATCCAGTCCTATTTAAGCTGTCAGACACAAGTTTTTCTTTCCATATGTATTGGGTCAGATCCTCTGGAAAGAAGTCAGAATTCTTAGTAGTGACCATCAACTAAGGAAAGAAATAAAACAGTGACTTACCTTTATCCTTAACAAGAAAGCTCTGCAACTCCTTGTCAAACAACATTTCACTGAGAAACTCAAGAAAAACCCCATGACTTGGTGAAGATTAAGAAGGTATTGTGGACTTTACATTAACTTTGAACTCAAATAAATACCTGTTACTAAGCCGTTTTCTAAGTGTGCATGCTCACAAGCACTCAGACCAGAGGCTGCAGAACATAAGCCTCACAAACTCCTTTCAAACAGGATAAAAGAAGTCTGTATGAATAGAAGATACCAAAGGCTGGCCAAAACCCCTAAGCCATACTTTACAGCGATACTATTTTCCCAGTCTCCAAACTATCTAGACTTTGCTCTAAAAGTAATTCTATAGATGTCGATGGATTAAACAGCTCCATTTTCCAAGCAATCTAATGCAGTAATTGGACTTTCCCTCCAGCTGCCCGCTACTGTCAAAGTCATCCTGATTTGACACGTTAGATAGCATAAAAGTGAGGAAGTACAATGTAAGCAGAAATAAGAGAGTTATTTTATTTATGAAGAAGGAAGGAAACACATAAAAAGCAAAAAAATCCCACCTTAAATCAGTTAAATGACCTGTGACGCAATGCTTCATACCTAAAACTTCTTTCCCTCCTGGTCAGTGACACTAAGGTAGGCTAGAAGAAAATAACTAATGCACAAGGTCTGTCTGATCTGCAGTTCAAGTTCAGTAGTTCTGAGAATGAAATTAAAACTTCTCCCTTCTTACGCACACATCACACTGATGGACCTCCCTGGTGATTACCACAGGCGTGGATACCACAGTTCTTGCAAAGCAAGCTGCTAGAACAGCTTTATAGCTCTGGAAACCATGTTGATGTCCCTGCTTACCATCTCCAGTGACTGAAGGATCACCTCCAAGCCAACGGTCTATCCTAGCAAGCAGAAAATCAAGCAAAGGTGTGTGAGGGACTGCTTGGATTAACAAGGGATTAAACTCCAACATAAAAACAACATGTACAGGATGTGAAAGCAGGAATATATAAATGGTGTCCAATCACGCACTGATGAGGTTAGGAAAGCTGAAGCCCATCTGGATTTGAATTTTGTGAGAGATCTGAAAAGCCATAACAAAGATCTGTACAAATATATTCACAGCAAAAGGAAGACTGGGGAAAACACCAACCCACTGCTGAATAGGACAGGGAAACTGCTGACCAGGGACACAGAAAAGAACACGATAATTAGTACTTTCCTTGCATCAGTCTTTACCAGTGCAACTGGCCTTCAGGCCCATGAGACAGTAGAAAGTCTAAAACAAGGAATACTTACCCTTAGTAGAAGATCATGCTGAGGAATATTTAAACTGCACAGA